TAGTGCAGTCCGCACGTGGTCACGCTGTTTCTTATATTTTACCGGGGGTGATGCAACGTCAATTAATGTCAGTATTCCATAAAAACCCCAAACTGACATTGACATTAATTGACATTAATTGACATTAATTGACATTAATTGACATTAATTGACATTAATTGACATTAATTTGTCTAGAAATTTGAGATTATCATTATTCGATAAATATTCAAGATATTCACGTCTATGTAAGTTAGACCGGTTCAAAAAAACAAAATGTCCTTGAATAATTAGGAGTATGTTCTTATCTGTTGATCCTTAGGTTCAAAGACCACAAAACAAATTTCAGCTTTCAACTCTTCCATCTTCGGTCCACACCGGCCACGCCCATATTTTATTGGTTTCTTATACAGGTAAAATATCTAGAATCGGTTTTTTTAGTATGAAGGAGTAATGTTAGCTGTTTAAGATTCATTATTCAAATATAAATGTCATGAAGGCATTTCGTTTAATGTGGGTTTTAAGTTCTAATGATGTTGAGAACCACGCCCTTGGATGGCCACGCCCATTTAAGAAAATTAAATTTCGGGAAACCGTATTATTTTAGTTTTATTGTTTAATGATCTGAATTTTTTTCACATTTCACATTTCCATATGTGATAGTAGTGAATAAATTGATGATATTTATATCATCAATTTATTCACTACTATCGTTTATAAACGTTCTAAAGTGATAAAAATATGGTAGAACTACATAATCTCTGGTCGAAAAATATCGTGTCAATTAATGTCAGTATTCCAAAATTTTGCAAAACTGACATTGACATTAATTGACATTAATTGACATTAATTGACATTAATTGACGTTGCATTCCCCCCATTTTACCTGTCAAACCAGCTCTCATGTTATTATTCTAAATCAAACTGTTTTATTTGCCGAGTTAATTTATCAGTTTTGCTTCTCACGATAAAGATCATCAACTATGAATGAGGGAGAAGAACATCTTATAGAGGATGTTATAGATGTTATAGAGGATGACAAGAACTCATCGCAAAGGAAATGTTGTAAAATATGCTGCTGTATCTGTAAAGGATGTGGCAGATGCTTTAGAGGGATTTGTGATTGCTGTTGTGGACTTTGTGCCAGAGTTTGTGGTTGTTTGAGCTCTATCGTGTCATGTATTGCTAATATTCCATGCTTCTTCCTAGTTCTCGTCATTATTGTAATTATTATAGTTGTATATTTTTTTCTGGATAGATTTGGATTAATTTAAAATATGGAACCCGTTCTTGATGTATATTGTATGTAGCTTCACTCAATATTCTGAGTGTAGAACAGTTTGTTGTTATTTTGTTGTAATATTTTAGATCTTGTTACATCCTTGTTACGATACCATGAAATGAATCGGAAAGTGAACAGTGCAGACGCAATTATAATTTTTTTCCGTGTCTTTTCAAGAGTTAGAATTTAAAATGAGAAGAACACTGTCAAAACACATGTGCAAAGAAGAGCTGGTCATATTTGTTACTAATTTTAACTGCTACAGCTGTTAATTAAGCTTGTCAAGGTTTGTGTGTTTAATGCTGTACTCCTCTGTAGAGATCCTCCACCCAGAGGAAGAGGGAACTCACGTGACTTACACCGTTAATACAGATGGTAAATGGAGATGTTCTAGTTGGAAGAAGAGTCAAGAACATAACTCAGAAGGAACACATTGTTGTGGAGGGTTGTTTTGTAAGAAACTGGGGGATGTTGTAAGAGTTGCTGCGGAGGGTGCTGTAAATGCTACGAAGGTGTTGCACAGTGTATTGTTAGGATATTGCCAGTCTTAGCTGCACTTGCTGTCCTTTACTTCTTCTATTTCAACTTTTCCAGATGATATAGTCAGACAACATTGCAGAACTTAGTGGAATGTTGGGATTTTATGTACATCATATTATGCTTTAAATACATGTTTTAAGAGAACAAATTTTGTTTACGAGGAGAGCCTTACTGGCCTTAGTAAAAGGCCAGTAAGTGCCGAAACGTCAGGTACACATGTCCGTATTATTTTCCACTTTTGTTATCACATTTGCCTAGTTTCATTTTGTTTTTGTACTTTGACTGTCGAGAGCCGTGATGCTCCTCCAAACTAACAAAATCGTTACGAGGAGAGGAAAGTTGTCGAAGTTTTTATTACTTTATTCGCTTGTTTAGTTTGGTATTGCCCCGTTCGAGTATAAAAACAAATATTGTAAAACTAATTGTCGTTGATAAACTTCATATTATCAAAAATAAATAAAATAATTAATTTAACAAGTACATGAACAGTTGCTAATTGTAATGCGAGGGTTATAAGTATAACGATATTCCAACCTGTTCTGTTGTTGGTGGCGGAAGGGGCTCAGGGGTTTAAATTCTGGGGCCTTTTCGGGAAAATCCTAAAATATCCAAAATTTTGTACGCCCAATATTCTCAGAATTGTGCTCGTTGTTGGTTTTAGAGAATCTTAATCATTTTATGGTGGATACCACAATGGGCTTCTTGAACAGCCTAGAGATTTATCTGGCTTGAAATAGTGAAATAAAACGTTAGTTCCCGATTTTGGGGGACGATCTGGTAATATTTAACTCATATTATATCCTGTGCTGCTGAGATGCTTTGTTGCTTCATTCTTAAATGATAATGTCTGTATAAAATAATAGAATTGTAGCTTGTTACATAAAACATCAAGAAATACAACGTTTAGTGCAGTCCGCACGTGGTCACGCTGTTTCTTATATTTTACCTGTCAAACCAGCTCTCATGTTATTATTCTAAATCAAACTGTTTTATTTGCCGAGTTAATTTATCAGTTTTGCTTCTCACGATAAAGATCATCAACTATGAAGGAGGAAGAAGAACATCTTATAGAGGATGACAAGAACTCATCGCAAAAAGTTTCGTGTCAAGAAAACATGAAGGATGACGAATTAATGATTTTAGAGGGTGAAAAAGGCCCTTCAGAAGGGAAATGTTGTAAAATATGCTGCTGTATCTGTAAAGGATGTGGCAGATGCTTTAGAGGGATTTGTGATTGCTGTTGTGGACTTTGTGCCAGAGTTTGTGGTTGTTTGAGCTCTATCGTGTCATGTATTGCTAAAGTTTTTTGTTCTCCATGCTTCTTCCTAGTTCTCGTCATTATTGTAATTATTATAGTTGTATATATTTTTCTGGCTAGATTTGGATTAGTTTAAAATATGGAACCCGTTCTTGATGTATGTAGCTTCACTCAATATTCTGAGTGTAGAACATTTTGTTGTTATATTTTTGATCTTGTTACATCCTTGTTACGATACAATGAAATGAATCGGAAAGTGAACAGTGCAGACGCAATTATAATTTTTTTCCGTGTCTTGTCAAGAGTTAGAATTTAAAATGAGAAGAACACTGTCAAAACACATGTGCAAAGAAGAGCTGGTCATATTTGTTACTAATTTTAACTGCTACAGCTGTTAATTAAGCTTGTCAAGGTTTGTGTGTTTAATGCTGTACTCCTCTGTAGAGATCCTCCACCCAGAGGAAGAGGGAACTCACGTGACTTACACCGTTAATACAGATGGTAAATGGAGATGTTCTAGTTGGAAGAAGAGTCAAGAACAAAACTCAGAAGGAACACATTGTTGTGGAGGGTTGTTTTGTAAGAAACTGGGGGGATGTTGTAAAAGTTGCTGCGGAGGGTGCTGTAAATGCTACGAAGGTGTTGCACAGTGTATTGTTAGGATATTGCCAGTCTTAGCTGCACTTGCTGTCCTTTACTTCTTCTATTTCAACTTCTCCAGATGATATAGTCAGACAACATTGCAGAACTTTGTGGAATGTTGGGATTTTATGTACATCATATTATGTTTTAAATACATGTTTTAAGAGAACAAATTTTGTTTACGAGGAGAGGAAAGTTGTCGAAGTTTTTATTACTTTATTCGCTTGTTTAGTTTGGTATTGCCCCGTTCGAGTATAAAAACAAATATTGTAAAACTAATTGTCGTTGATAGACTTCATATTATCAAAAAATAAGTAAAATAATTAATTAAACAAGTACATGAACAGTGGCTAATTGTAATGCGAGGGTTATATATAGTAAGATAGCGATATTCCAACCTGTTCTATTGTTGGTGGCGGAAGGGGCTCAGGGGTTTAAATTCTGGGGACCTTCCGGGAAAATCCTAAAATATCCAAAATTTTGTACGCCCAATATACTTAGAATTGTGCTCGTTGTTGGTTTTGGAGAATCTTAATAATTCTATGGTGGATACCACAATGGGCTTCCTGGACAGCCTAGAGATTTATCTGGCTTGAAATAATGAAATAAAACGTCTGTATATATCAGATCCATATTTTTACACATTAATAAACAAATTGAGTTTCATCGAATTGATATCAATTTGTAGAAACCCAACTCCTAGAAAAGCGCATCCCAAATCTCAATCTCTGTATTTACACATACTCTACTCACTAGTAGCTCAATAGTTTACTCAGTGTGACTGCCAACTTAAAATGTGGAGCTGTCAACAGATAATATTATTATTATGGTATCGGATAGTATCACACACACGCAAATACCTAGCAGCACTGTTACCATGGCACCAGCATGATCGTGATTTAAGGGTTTGTGTTCTACCGGCTAATTTAAGTTGATGTGATAGCTTCCCTCAGAATATATGATTACCTGATAGCGAATTATTGTTTAATCAGTTACCTAATCGCTTGAACTCGTGTCACGTTGAAACTCCAGCTTCGCCTAGAGTTATGTGTGCAAAAGTTATTTTAGGAATTCGGGCATATAACGTCGCGCGCGATGTGTTTTGAATGATAAAAGCTAATTTGAAATGCTGCGCGCTTGCGTGGCAACTGAATCATTTTGGACTTGAGCCAAATAGCTGTTTACATGTTTATATTTAGCATATTCATCAGTCAAGCTTGGCCAGACAGTGATATAAACTTACCGACTGATTACATGTGACTAATTATTATTCATTAACACTCCCACTTAACATTTCAGTTCAGCCTACGATAAGAGGACCTACAATTCTCGGAACTATTCTCTCAACATAGACTATAAACACGAGTGTTTCACCTGTCAAGTGAATATGAAACCAAAACACTGCAGTTCTCTAATGTACAGTGATGCTATATTTGACTCCATACACACTTCCGACAGTTACGATGTGTACACATATGAGAACTACCCGTGTTACCAGCGTCTAGCTAAACAGGGCCAATGTGTTGTGGACAATGTTAACTATAACGTCGTGTTCAGTGGGGCAGCGTGCACATTGTGCTCTATCTGCCACAAGAACACAATGTTCAACACCTCTCACAGAACACAGTACGGTAAATACTACTACACGCCAAGATTCTCGATCAGTCTGGGAAACAGCAAACACGGAACTAAAAACATCCTCCATTGCCTCAACAAGCTGGTCCAACTAAGATTTTACAACAAAAACCAATTCTGCGACGAACTACAACAACACTTATCAGTGTACAAACAAGATAAAACGACCGTGTTCACGGGCTGTTCGAGCTTCTGTAGTGACAGTTCAAGTGTGGTCCACAGAGAGTTGTACAGTACAGAGTTAGGAGTGTATCTGATAATGTTAGCTGTTATTGGGCTGTGTATTGTGGGCGTTATCTTCTGTGTGGGATATGTTCTGTCACTCTACAGGGAACTGGGCATTCTTAATCTAGAATGGTAAGTTTCACATTTTAGTTAAGTTACACATTTTAGAACAAATCTATTCGGTATTCGAATAGCAAAATAGCAAATTAGCAAGTAAGCAGATGATGATGAGATTTTGTGTTAAATTCCACCCAAAACATACTTTTGAATTCGTGAAAACTTTCGTCATGAACAGCTCAAAAATAAGCAATAATCCCCTCAGGAACAGTTCACAGACCTGTCCTATCTGCATGGATAAGTTATACCGGCTAACCCGCATCAGTAAGCTACACTGTGGTCACATGTTCTGTAGGGGCTGTCTGAATCAGTGGTTGCACGTGTTCTGTCACGTGACCTGCCCCCTCTGTAGGCAGCCTGTAGATCCTAACGCTCCTCCCCTCTCTACTCGGGACAACTCTCCTCAACTTCTTATGTTGTCAGATACCCCTCATTCAGTGAGTTAGATTCCTCTTTCTCTGTTTTATCATAGCAGATATCAGTTATATTATAGCTGTTATATTATAGCTGTTATATTATATCTGTTGTAGTATAGCTGTTATATTATAGCAGAGATTAGATATGCTCGCCAGATTTTTCACCCAAAGCAGCAATAATAAACTCCGCCGAAGTAAGAAGTAAGAAAGTATGACACTCTCAGAATGTCAGAATGTGAGTGATAACATTTGTTAAATTATCCTTCTCCCTAAGTTGAATAATCTAACTTATGTCCCACTCTTCCAGGAGAGTGAAGAGGAAAGTATAGCGGGATCAGAAAACTCCCATCACAGTACTCTAAACTCCTCCATAATGCAGTCCATCTACAACATGGGACGGAATGTGGTCGCCGGCTGGTCTTCTCAACCAGCGTCTCACAACAGCTCTCCGTTCGACTTGTAAGTGTGAACTTAAATAAGTAGTTAATTAATTGCTTTGCATGTTATGTACTGACTAGTAAGGAATCGTTTACATATTATGAAAGCTAGACCCTCTCCCCTAGGGGAGAGGGTCCCCTGCAAGCCAAATAGAAATTGTACATAGGCGATATCTTTTCTAAACCCCTCCCACTCCAAACCCCTCCCACGCCAAACCCCTCCCACACCAAACCCCTCCCCCTCCTAGACTGGCTTACATAAATAACATGCTCCCAGTTTATGAACTTTAAAATATCTTAATTGGTTAAATTGGCTGCTAGGTCTCCTGAGCCAGTAACTACCTTGCTATACGACCTGTAAGTGTTCAAAACATTTGATCTAAAGTGATCTGGGTTGCTGACTACTAATCATTTAATGAAACTTTCACTTCTTATTTTTCATTTCTTACTTTTTTGTTGTTAATTTTGTCTCATATTTTAACTCACGATTTATGATTTACTTCTTTATTGAAATGAAATTTTCTACTGTGTTAAGGAATTTTCAGCATCTCTACAATTGGCCATTGGGAACAATAGAAACTTCAAGTTGATTCCCCAAATTATGTTATAACTCGTTAAAATAATTGGTTATATATATGGATTGTGAAATAGAGAGTGGTTTTACAAAATGAGTACTCAATTCAATTTATTACGTCTTAATTATTTAGAAGATTTAATTTCATGAACACAAGTAATATCAAAATATCACGCTTTCAATAAATAAACATTGGAATCAATATTAGATAGAAATTCAGCAATATTAACGTCAAATGTTAACGATATCAGACAAATTTGCAGCTATTAAAAGATGGATGGCTGATTTTGTAGTTGTCTTAATCGCTTCCTCTATTTTAGGTCTGCTGCTGCTCACGTTTTGGGCTAATGTTTCCACTGTCCCCTCATGATATCTTTCTTCATAACATACAGTTCGATTATCAGCTTGCATCCTAGATAAGAATGCCTGTAGCCCTATCTTTAGCACGTCTGTTCTGAAACCACATTACAACTACATTACTAGCCACGTTTAGCCGGGACAGAATGCTGGCTTTCAGGGTCGGGTTCAGGAACTTGTGTTCCTCGTACACTCCCTCCAGTATAGCAATCTCTGCAGGACTGAAAACCGTCCTCTTCCTTCGCCATCTCTTCTTCTGCTTGCTTGTCGTGTCCTCAGAAAACAAGCACCTCTTCTTTTGCTTGCTGGTTTTATCGTCTGTTGTGTAACAATTGACTTGCTCGGTAAAAGTGCTGTCTTCTGTTGTATAATCCCTGTCCATGTAATTGTAGTAGGGTTGAGGAGGGTGGGACCAAGTTGTGGTGTTATCCTGTGTGTCCTGTGATCCTCCTGTTGATCCCTGCTTCCCCGTCATGTCACCCTCCATCCAAACAGGCTCAGTCAGCATAGCTCGTAGACCGGAGTGTTTCTCGGGGGTCACGTGACCAATGCTTTGCAGATTAACCCTGTCTGCCCACGTGTCGTACTTCAAATCACCATGTCTCCAGGGCACCTTGTCCTCTTTACACCTTGTGGGGAATGTGCAGGTAGATTTGTCATACCATGTGTTTTCAGAGATATTTTCTTTTAAGCTTGGGTTCAGTGGGACGCAGTCTGGTATGATCTGTGGGTTGGTGGTGTAATGGCAGTGATCTCTGGCTCGCGGTCGAGGGGTAGCGAGTTCGAGCCCCTTCTGCGCTGTTTCGGGTTGTGGAGGGAAGAAGAGTTCCTCCAGGAGGCATAGTGGGATATTTTCTGACAATAAATCAGGAACTTCTAGTCCGGGTGAAACTTCTAGTAGAGTGGGTGCTGGGAAGATGTATAGGTTGTTTATCAGCGGTATTTCGTCCCTCAGCTTCAAGAGAGATGGTTCCTCAAGGTCACCCTCTGTTTTTATTGCTCTACTCAGCTGCTCCGCCAGACCGGTAGGTCCCTCTGAAACACTCAAACAAAACTCGTCCTGGTCAGATATTTCCCCCAACAACATAACAACAATTCTATGACAAATAGAAGTAGAAACTGATCACTTTAAACTACTAACTGTTAATCTGCTCCAAGTATCCGACCCCTTATATCTGCTCTGCTGCTCAGTAAGTTTTCAGACTACCTCATGACTGTCTGACTTACGCGTGTTCTTCGTTATTGAGATCACGTGACTTAGGTATGAGGTCACGTGAACACAATTGTCCATAACTGGAAGAAGTGGAAGTGGAAACTCGAGATCTTGCCGCAAACAAGGTTCCATTCATAACTGACCTGGAACATTGTTTGAAACGTGGGTTCCGTGATAAGAGAAAGTAATTCGAGTTAACTAATAACATAGCTTGTGCAGTAGTTTCAATGTCAGCATGGCAACAAGCTTGTTACCAAGGGAACTTGGAAGTATTGCGGCTGACAGTATAGGTAATCTTTAATTGATATCTCAGGTTTAGTTTAGTAGACTGGAAATTGACTTGAAGTGGGCCACATATTGTCAGTCAAATTATCAATTGAGGTTAACAGTGCTCGAAATTAATGGTGAAACTCAAGTTAACTATATGATTCTGTATATCCTTTCTACCAAGAAGTTTGCTGGTATTTTACACTCACTAGCAGGAACCCGTCTGACCCTAAAGTGGTGTCAAGACTCAAGAGACTAAAATGATTTTTACCTATTTAATTCGCGTTTTTTACACCACTTGGGGGTCCAAATTTTGGGCACTAAAATCCTTATTTCTTGGCCAATTTTTTATTATGTCATGCTGATTTGAAGGCCATTAAGGCATTTGACCCAGTCAAAAAAGTTTCAGTTTTATATCTTTTACGGTTTTTGCGTAACGACGTGTTAAAGTTGATGCCGTGGTGTCAGTAAAATGGCACGGATAAACAATAAACATATATCGTCTCGCTTTATATATAGTTAGATAATGGTGTTGTCTAACCCTTCCAGTTCTTGTCGTATTACCAAATCATTAATACATATTACGTTCATCTTGGTATTATCTATAATTATATAACTATTAAAAACTGTAATTATCTTCTAGATCCCGAGATTCCACCACCTCCTTGATAAATGAAGGTGAGAGGGTGGATATTCTGAACCACTCCTTTGACCCGGGAGTTGCGGAGGCGCTCAGTGCAACCTCAATATCTGAACCCATTCCTTTACCTTACTACCCACTCCGGTACAACACTGACCACTCCAATTCTGTCGTAAGTAATGAAGCTATGTTGAACATATGCGTTTCTCTTCTGCATACAATATACATTGTCGGTTTATTTGGAAAGTATTATATCGTATATATTATATATTATATTAATATTATATTATATCGCACTTGTATGTTATAATTTTGAAAAGTTAGAGCATTTAAAGATAATATTTGTTGATGAGGTAGGTCTGATAAATCTCCTCCTAACAGGTAGTGCCCTACTCCACTACTGCTCTAAACTCCAGCCCCTGCTCCTCCAACCTCCTCCTCCCTCCTCCCTTCTTCCGTCCCACCCCACACACTGCCCTTTTCTCCGGACTTAGTTTCCATGACAACGCTCAGGACTCAGCACACAGTGACACGGAACTGTTCGGACCCAGTTCACGACTCCAAAACAGGATTGCCAGGAAAATCAACAGGCTGAAGAACAGACGACTAGGTGTTCGGATTAGAACTAGAAGTCAGTTTATATTAATTTATTATAATATAATATGTATCATATATGTATATTATTTTTGGTTGGATTATCCGATTTATCCAGTGATATATTTATGCGATATATGTATATATGATTGTAAAGGTTTATTTGGCCGAAAATTCAGATTAGTTGCGTGCTTCATTGACACGTCTGTGGTTAACTAATTTCTTAACTAATTTCTGTTCTCCATTTATAATAGAGAACAGATATGTGCTCAGATATGTACTCAATAAATGTAAAACTTTTACAGTGTTGTTATTAGTTTAAAACTATAAATATTATTACTCTGTTTTTCTCTCGCTTTAATTTCCATCTCTCTCCAGGAGCGCAGTCAACATCCGATCTTACGTCAATGACGTCACAGTCTGAGAGCGAGGTTGACGTTTTGTGATACCAGAAGATCAAACTTCAATCCCCACTCATCAGACATTTACCTGGGGACCCCAGGCTATAATGTTCATAAACATATTGATATACCGAATAGAGATTCGGCGGAATGACAGGCTGAGCGCCGCACAGTAAATCAGACATCTGTACCAGCGTCTTTTAATAGGAGCGTCGTCATAATTATCCGCATTATGTCTGGCTGAGCTGTTCGTCAAAACTAAAACTGCAAGTGGGGACCACTTCTTTAATAAGAGAAATAACTCATTTTAACTTGGCATGAAACTATCAGACGTTCTAAGTTTGAGGGATTATTATAATTTAATAAACATTACGCAATGAGTTATTTTCTAGGATAAATTTAATAATTCGGATGTAAATTACTATAAGTATACTAGACATGAATTTGTGATAAAATTTGATTTTAATTTCTTTTACTCTACTTGATGTTATATTATCCGTTTTGGATTTGAAATTGCTGAATTTAATATTTTGGTTGTACTTAAGTTCTTAATATGTTGTTACTAAATTCTTGATAAATTTCATTTTGAAAATGGAAAAACCTGTTCACTTTCAAGTCTTAAGCTTGCGAGGCACTTGTTATGTTTACTTCAAAACTAAATTGTTATCAATGTATGTAATAAGAGCGTCAACTTGTGGGTGAACATTTTATGTCTCGCAAACCCCGACATATTATACACCTTAGGGAAAATCTCATTGAGTAGAGACAGAGTCACCTGGTGGCTGCTCCGAGCGAAAGTTATTAACCCGCCACCTCTATTTCTAAGTCGCCCACAAAACGCCGGCTTTTTAAACAATTCGCTCGCCCAAAACTATCAAGTGACTTTGGTTTGGGGTCGTTCACATATTACGTAATCATTTTTTGGAACCTCGGCGGTTTTTGCGCCCGCCGAAGCCCGGCGGGCGCGCGCTACTGCAAGCACAAGGGCTCTGGATCGGATAGAGCAAGTTTAACTGGTTTTGAAATGATAAGAGAAATGACTGAGTTTCCCCGGGTAAAATCACGAAAAACATTGTCGTTTGACTTTGATTCACGATGTCAATCCTTCGCAGCTCGGTGAGGCACAGTGGTGCATCTCGCCGATCTACCGAAGTGTGGTTGCGAGAAGCATTATTTGATGCGCGCGCGACCCAGTAGTGCATCGCGCTACAATCACCATAGTGAATTACGACCGTGGGGGTCACAACGTAATACAAAAATTCACTGTGCAGTGTGCATGCTAGTAGAGGCTCTTACGGGCAAAAAGACGTGTTTTCTGCTACGAGTTTAGAGACCTAACCGCTAATTGGACACAATAGTATGATGTCTAAGGATCGATAATATGTTAAGAAGTATAAATTTGGCCTTATTAGTCACGTGCTATACCAATGCGCGTTTTAAACTTTGACAGTCTATTACTCTAAGGCAAATAAAGTAATTATATCCATATTTTGTCAGCAATAAGATCACATTATTTTCTATTTAGTGTGAAAATATGAGCTAGAACGGACATAATCTCGCTGAGTTATAGCTGTTTGAAATTTATGATGAACGCGCGGGTGCCAATTGATAACAACTAAATGCTTTTGCGCGTAGTGCGCGTCGAAAATTTGGCAAAAACGCTTGCGGAGTGACAATATTCAAACTTCGATTAAGTATATGAAGTGGGTACTTCTCGGAAAGGAAAAATTTAGGCAAACACGATGTGACTATTTTTGGGTTGATTTAATACAACTGCAAAAAATTATTCAAACTTAAAGCAAAAAAGTCAAAATTTTTACCACTTTTTTGGATTTTTACCTCAGAACAAATAGAGGGATTTGTTTTATTTTTATACAATCTTGTGCGGCTGTCTTTTAGCTATCTTTATGCAAGTTTTGCCGACATGCCAACAAAATTAACTTGCTCAAAATATCAAAAAACATGGTTTTTTGGCCTATTTTTGGCCCAAAAATCGGTTTTTTGCGATTTTACCCCAGAACAATCAGTCCAATCATCTTGAAACCACTTTCAATCGATTCTACGGTCAAAAATACGTCTAGTAAGGTGTATCTGGGGTCCCTAACGCATCGAGCAGACAATGCCCGTAAGAGCCTCTACTATGCATGTGCATACGTGATTTCTTTCTACCCAGAGCCACTGGTATAGTATTTTGAATATTGCATTTTCCCGCGGTGTACGCTGTCGAAAGCTGCTCTTACTAAATCGCTCGCCCAAAAATTTCACGTGACTTTGGTTTTTTGGTTTTGCAGCCGTACAAAACGGTTTTACATAAACCCTAATCCCAACCCTAACCCTAACCCTGAACCCGAGCCCTAAATAATCGAATTCGCGTTTTACTAGCCTGTCACGTGACCAGAACGGTTTTTTCACCATAACTCTACAGGGAAGCATTTTAACCCTACGTCATAGGGGGTGATTCGGAATCAGCGTCCAAAATACACCGATCTAGATCACTTTCATGCCTAAAGGGCCTTTTCACAAGAATTTTCTTAAAATTTGGGCGAGCGATTTAGTAGGAGCGAAAAATGCTACACGGCGCTTGTTTGCCGCGCGTGCTTTTTTCGCGCAAATTTTTAGTTTTTGGCTTATAACTTTCACATTTTCAGTTATTATCACATAATTATTATGGCATCGTAATCAGCTCATCGAGACGAAACTTTTAGTACTAATTTTTTAAGATTTAAAGGAAAATTATTTTCAAAATTTTTCAATCTGAACAAATTTTTGAAAAATTTGGTGCTTCAAATATTATAATTTTGGTACCAAAAGTTGCGTCTGACTAAGCTCATTACGATACTGTAATAATTATGTCAAAATATTCAATATTTTAGGAGTTATAGGCATTTTAAGCAATAAATTACCCATTTTTCGTCTTTTGTACATTCTTGTAATGCACAGGAGGCCCACATATAGCTCGACGTTATTTTGCTACACGGTGAATTTGCATTATTCACACTTATAGGCAACTTTTGGTACCAAATTTATCAAAATCAGAGACAACAAATTCTGTGCCAACTCATGGCGCTTATTACATAGACTATCAGGGCTTGTCGAACTTTTATTTAGTATGTCAATGTGTCAAACTATTTAGTATTTGTCAAACTTTATTGTGTCGAGCTACAATATTTCTTTTAAAAGTTAACGACTGTGTCGTTTGTACACAAAAGAACTCATCACTTGTTGGAGTTCGAAGCTTGACTTGCCTATCAAATATATATAAATATACTTTCTCATGATTGCAACTCTTAGCTTCGATCGAATAAGTCATTACGTTGGAGAGCCTTACGTTAATAACCAGTCGATGGTGATATAAATATTTTGCATCACTTATTATCACAAACTGCTTTTAAGATATTGTGAGTTCTACTAGGAGCATACAATTGTATTTGTAACAAAAATTGCGCCCGTTTTCTCGGAGGGGGACGGACGCAAATATTTCCATCCACTGCCCATACTCAGAATCAGATCAGTTATAAAGTTATAACTTCATCATAGACTTTGACTTACAGTTAAACCCCGATTTACCGTACCCATATTTACGGCCGTACCCAGTACCTCTAGTTTCTACCCTTTCCCCAAAATTTGTAAATTGGATCTCACGCAATCCTTGAAAATACGAATTTTATCATAAATGGTTCATGTCCTTGATGTCAAGCGAGCTTATCGTTAGCTTTGTCGTTATTGCGAGTGGTACACTGGAAGATCTTTGTAGTATAGTATGTTATGCTGTGCAGAGTAAAATGTTGGGTTCATGTACTATTTTTTTAGCAAATTTTTACCCAGACCGCGGTCTGCTTGTTTTTTGAGGTATTGGCCGGCAAATCAACAAATACAGCTGTAAAAGATAAATTAGTTCTTCAAATTCAATGTAGAGTGACATTAAGAAATCGATTCATTTACATCAGTTACACAACCAAATTACCATCATGTACACAGTTCGACTCACAGACCGTGGTTTGAACTATTTCATAATAGTCAGACCGCGTCCAGACCACTAACACGGTGCATATCGTTGGTTCTGCGTTCTTTTATATAGGCATCCGCATAGCGAGGCCCGTTTTAACGAAGTTTACCAACTACTGTGCATATTTTATGATTTAATATTTAATTGTAGGTTGATGAATTTACTTGCTGGTGCTCTCGTGTGTTGGCTGTGTCATCTGACTTACGAAACAGGTGAGCGTTCGTTTTTAGTTCTAAATTTTATCCACATGTTTTAAATTATGTATCTAAAATTCTTTTATTAAATCGATCGGTGCTCTCGTGTGTTGGCTGTGTCATCTGACTTACGAAACAGGTGAGCGTTCGTTTTTAGTTCTAAATTTTATCCACATGTTTTAAATTATGTATCTAAAATTCTTTTATTAAATCGATCTGCTTTGTTTCAACAGTAGTAATCATTAACTATCTATGGCTTAGAAAAAATATACTCATTTTCCCTTAAATTAAAGCTAAAGCATGGTACTTTTGCCATGTCGATTGCCGCTCATCTTGGCTATTTGTCATATCACTTCAACTTCATGAACTTCAAAGAACGCAAGACTTATTTTGTAAATTGTATTGATATGTAATTCACCGGCAAATATTTGTACTTCTGGGTTAAGTGAAATGAAATGAAATAAAGCATTTATATCCCGCTTATATCAACAACCAATATTATTAAAGATAAAAATTGCCGACTACAAAGCGGCTGGAGTGGTGACAAAAGTGATAATTTAAACTCCAGAATGCATGTATATTCCCAGTAAATGTAAAGTGTAAGAGTTCATATAAAATGGCATGGCAAACATTTAAAAAGAATTAAATAAGAAATATACAGATACTATTATATCTCACTCATCTATTTCACAAATTTTACCAGTCCTGGTAAAATAAAGTTTATTAGGATTTTCCGTGACCTTCCTCTTCAATTCTAGAACCAACTGTCAGTTATGTACTGCACACTCCAAATTAAACTTTGACAGCTCTATGTTTTTCTGCAGCTTTATTCCCAATTCGATCAGCTTCAAAGCGTAGCTTCTCTGTCATTTGTTCAAACTCATCGCAAATTTTATTACCAAGTTTCTCTCCTGCATCCTCCTTGAGACCAAAAATCAACATATTTCTGCTGCGATCCTCTTCAGCTACCACATTCTGAACTACATTCTTAAAGTTCCCTTCAGTGAAAGTGGAGGCAGAGCTGTGGAAATTTTTTGACACAGCAGAACTGTAAGACTTAATCTCAGCTTGAACAGTATTTTCTACAGCGGTTTTAACAGTTCTCTGGACTTATTCTAGATCTACAGTCTTAATATCCATGAGTTCCCCTTGCAACTGAATAACTGATTCCTGAGCATTAATCATGTCATTTTTCATTTCCTCTTTTTTGTTGTCGCTTTTAGAAAGAGTTTCTTATATTCAACAATACCCTGAAACGCATCAAAAATGTGCTTTACTAAAACGTCCTTATATAGTTTCTTGAACTTGTCTATTGTCTAATGTAATATGACTCTTCATCACAGTCTATTATCTTCATCACTTCCTCA